AGATCTTCCTTTTTGTCTCTCCTCCTCTCTGTATATCTGACTTTCCAATGAAAATAAAATAAATGTATTTTTAAAAAAGAAGACTATCAGAGCTTAATGAAAGCTAAGGTTAGATTAATATGTCATTCTACATCAATCATAATCATGAAGGAATAATCTTACAAGAAATTTATTGTCATCTAGTTCACCCTGATGATGACATGCTAGTTTTCTTGGTTTTTATACGCTGTTCAACATTACTACCCTGGAAGTTAAAAAATATAATGATCTGGCAGGATTAACATACGCATATAACCAAGTAGATATTTAAGTACAATGACCTATATGCAAAATTCCAATATCTACTTAATTTATTAGTAAAGTACTTTAGAATATTCCAAACAAATAGTACAGTTAATAGTGACTTTAGCTCCCATGGCAGAGTAGGTTACTCTGACTACTAGGCTCATGTATATTTGACAGTCATTTTTGAGAAGAGAGGAGGCTTGGTTTGTAGAACTGGTTGATTGTGGTAAAGTACATGCGCCTACCATGGCTGATTTCAAGGGGTCCTGGATGAGGTTACCAAAGGCTGGGTTGGAATTGATACATCTGCTTGACTTACATAACAGTACAAGCCAGTTCTTGCACAACACCTTCCCATCATACTCTATATAGAAATCCAAACCCCAGTGTTCAACATGTGTTGCTATTTCCGTCTGCCTTTAGGCTCCATTGATGAATGTAAGGGATAGTAGAATTATTCTTGGGGGAAAATGCAGGGTGCAGAAGATATGTGTCTGAAAGAGCACATGGGCAGTTTAGTCTTTGAAAGAAGAAAAACTGAAGAACCTAGCAAGCCCTAAATCTTCATATCTTCACAGTGTTCCTGGGGTGGAACTTTTGGTTTTGTGCCTCTATATACTTAAATCTCAGTTGTCTGATTCAGTTTGAAGCTTTGCTGATGTTTTTGTTAGACCATCGCTATAAAGCCTGTTTAAATGCCTGAAAGATAGACTCCAAAGCTTCCTCAAACTCCCAGGAATAGGTTTTAAAACTATTTTGGAGCTTGCTTGTTAATGAATATTTCTAGGTAACAGAATGTGGTTCGAGATTTACTTTTGTTATACTTGCAACCTAATGGTTAGGTAAGAGCAGCAGTCATGGCTTTCACTTAACTTGTTTTATACAAATATTGCAATAAAAAAATTAACCAAGAAAATCTGACAAAATGTAGAGACAAGTTGGCTTATACCAATTTGCAGTATTACTAAGTGTGTACTAGTTTGGGGCAGTATGACCTGAGGTTTCAGGGTACAGAGGCCTTGTTGGCCTTGTTGGTTGATTTCAAAATGCAGTGTCATCAGTTCTGTTTGTAAAGTAGTCAAACAAATTGGGTGCCAAAAATCACACATGACAGCAGAGGATGGTTTTGTTTATAATACTAGGTTTGTGGTCAAGGTGAATACACACACAGAACTTTGCTTTCTCAGAAAGCAAGGACTTAAAACAGGGTCCAAAATATTCAGGTACTTTTGGACTGTAGTGTTTGTGTGGCATTCTGATGTAGTGGCTCTCAAATATGTCCTGCAAATGCCTTGAAACTCCTTTGTTCCATAGGTAAAGGGAATGGTCTATAGCTTCTCACCTTTAATTTGGGTACATTGCTACTTGACCAGTAGAATATGAGAAACTGGCACAGCTGGTTCCATGGCATAACAAGTTAAACTGCTGCCTAGAGTGCTGGCATCACCTATGGGTGCTGGTTCATGTCCAAGTGGCTCCACTTCTGATTCAACTCCCTGCTAATGTACCTGGGAAAGCAGGAGAAAAAGGCCTAGCTACTTGGGTCCCTACATCCATTCAAGAGCCTTGGAAGAGATTAATGGCCACTGGCTCCCCAGATCAAGAAAAAAAAGAAATCTAGCACAGCAAATCTCCTAAGATATAGATTTGTAAACTGGCATTTGATTTGGTAAGATTTAGAAGCATATCCCAAGAGACCAGCTGCTTCTTTTTGTTGTCTCTTTAGATGCTTGTTCCTAGAATTTAGTATCAACGTGATAAGAAATAAGCCACCCCAAGGGTGAGGTTCATGTTGAAAGAAACTGTTTTTTTTTACGACTTTCCAGTCATACACGTATTTTGGAGGTATAACATCAAACCCCACTCAGGTAACTCTTCTCCATTGAGACCTGCCTAAATGGCAGGTTTTTATGCCAAGTAGTTACTATTTCAGTCACTGTGATTTGGGATGGCTCACTATGCCACAACAGAAACCTGAAATGGCTGGGAGCCCCTCTGTATGAGAAGAAGCTCTTAGCTGCTTTTCGGTTCTTCGTTTCTCTAGAAGGCCATGTATAGATTTTTTGTGTCTGTGCTGGCTCTTACTGGTAGCAGACAGAACTCAAGCTGAGCATATTTGATCAGTGAAAGTTTAAACATCCCATCCCGAAGTAATTTCTGCAGGGCTGATTTGGGCAGTGACTTTAGTTCGTGATCATCTCATTCTCTGGCTGCTAGGCTTCTCTTCCAGCTCTGTGAATGTGTTCTAAGCAGTGAGTCCCAAGATGAGACTCTGAGAACACAAGTTATTGTATTGTCATTTATGGGGCAAGTCCAGTCAAGCCATTTGACATTCCTAGAAATGTAGTAATAGGAAGACACTTAGAAGTTGTGGAGACTGGACTAGTTCATTACATGCACTGGCAGATTTGAGAACCAGGATGGGGTGCAGGACAGGCCAGGTTGGGCTGCAACACCAGTCAGTTCATATTAGGGCTGGGAGTGGGGGCTGGCTCGGCTGGGCTGGGTGTCAGCACCCACCAGCATGAGCTGGAACTGAGGGCAGACAGGGCCAGGCCAGGCTACAGCATCCACCAGCAAATGCCAAGGTGTCAGATTGGGCTGTAGCACCCTCAACACATATGAAACTGAAGTGGGAAGGGGCAGTCTGTTTGGATCAGGAGGGGCTCAGCTTCTGGCTTAGTGTGAGTACTGGAACCAGGGGCAGACCAGATTGGGCAGGGATACAAACTTGTTGGCCTGCATGTGAGCAGGGTTGGCGGGGGAGCCAGGCTGCACTAACCAACTGTATCTACTGGTGTAAGCATGAGCTAGAGTAAGGGCAGATTGGTTGGGCCTTGCTGCAGCATCAGCTGGCAAGTATTGAGAATGGGGGCAAATCCTGTCAAGCTAGACTGTAGAAGCACCTGGAGAGTACAAAATCTGGGACTGGGGTGGACCCAGTAGGGAAACTGTGGGCAGTTCTCTGATGGACTGCAATTCCCACTGGTGAGCTTGAGAGCCAGGGAAGGGGGAGGGCCTGGTTTGACAGGATCTGCTGGAATGAGTATGGGCTGTATAGTGGGGTTGGTTGTTTTGAACTAGGTTCCCATGCTCATTGATGTGTATAAGAGCTGAATGGTATGTGGGACAGACTGGAGCAGTCTGCTGCACATACTAGCAAGCATAGGAACCAGGGCTTGAAAATGCTTTCTCTTATGGTGTGACATATATTTTCATGTTATTAATGTTGGCGATGGCCTTAACAAGAAAGTTTTTAACATGTAAAATGTCTTACTAACCTTTAAGCCGAAAGATTAGCTTAGATGGATCTTGGGGGAGGTATTAGCAAGCCATTCAAGGGTTAGGCATCGAATGTCTGTTTTGTAAAGTTGACTTTAGTTAGCTTTTATCAAGCAACTTTTATGCATAAAGCATTGTAGTCTAAATAAGCACTGTGGTAAGTAATATTTAAACTTGGATTCTAGGATTTGAGCAGACTTTAAAAAAACAGTCTCTAATTTGGAGACTCATGATTTCTTATAGCATTCTAATTGGTCTGTGAAGTCTAAGTAAACACCCATGCTTGACATCTCATGGTTCTGTATCATCTACATCCATCTATTTCTATATATGTTTGTGTAACTTGGAAAAGATATCAAAGTTAAGTTCACAATATGTCTTTGTTCAAACATAACTGTTGGGAAAACTGTTGTCAACTCAGGGTAAACCAAATGATAATGTGAAAATACATGTCATGAAGCCTGTACACTTTATAATAGACACAGGGATCTGCCCTCAGACTCTTATCCTGATAATTATTTATAAAACAAGATAGATTATAAGCAGGGAGGCCACACTGACAGCATGTAGAATAACAGTTTACAACACTGGGAGGAGAGAGAGAACGCACAGACCACCAAACTACAATGCACCAGAAGTCTGGATTTATTCTGTGTCTCTATAGAAAGCCTTACATGCATAAACTCTCTCACAGGATGGTGAACTATAAAGAAGTTCATAATTTAGTTCAGGAAATGGTTGGAATAAATTTTTTAGAGGAATAGAATTTCAAATAACATGTCATTATCTCTTGGACAAAAAGATTTATATTATGATACAAAAATGATCAAACCTGTAACAAAAAGGGGGGGGAAGAGTCAGAATAATGAATGGAGTTATCTTGATTGTCTCTCTTGATCTTCTAATTTAAATTTCTTGACTACAGGTTTTTTTTTTTTTGTCAAAGAGGCAGAGCTTTTCAATGTATTTCTGTATCATGGAGATGATAGAAAAGGGAAACTTCCAAGTAATCTATTAGGTCTGTAATATTGAAGTTTTTAATCTAATAGTTTTAAAAATGAATTCCTGGGTATTTTTTTCAAGATTTCTTTGAAAGGCAGAGTGACACACACCGAGATTAGAGAAGATAAAAAACAATACTCTTTATTGCTGCTCTAAAAATTGGAATGGTTGAAACTCTTGTCTATGTTGTTGCCTCTGTTAGTGCTCAAGAAGTAGAGGTAGCCCAATATGAATCTGAGTCTCAACACCATCAACCAAAAGATTGGTTCTATAAACCTCAAATGTCTCACCAGTAATTTACTTAGAAGTTCCCTCCTCCTGTAGTAGTAAGGAGGATCACAAGAAGTAAGTAATGGATTTAATACAATTACTTGGTCTGAAGTTTGCAGCACTTACTGAATATTAGAGACTAAAATTACTGTCTCTTCCGGGCAGAAATCTGAAGGAGAAACAGCATTGGAAAGTCCAAGCAAGAACATCCGCTGTCAGCATCCCATAATTTGGTATTGAGGATTGTAGTCAGGCTTTACTTTCATCTAGTTTTTGTTTCTGATTGTAACAAAAGAGTTAAGGAAGCTCACTGAAGGTCACTAACAGCTTTGGGAGGATGTCTCTTGGTGTCTTGCATGCTCCATCTGGGTTGCAGCCTTTATTCCACCTACTTAATGGATGACAAGATTGCTGGGGCCAAGTGTTTTTCATAAAGACACCCAGGTTGCAGGCAGAGTAAAATACACCCCAGGTCACATAATTCATTCTGTGTTCAAGAATCTTCCCTCATGCTTGGTGCCCTTTGGGAACTGTTTCAGAGGCATTCCAGCTGAAGAATCATGCCAGTGCACTGGTTATCAATTCTTTCCTTGATCCTTTAGCAAATCCTCAGGCTGAGTTTTCTGCCCTCCTGAGACACAAGTCCCAAAGCTGACCTTAGCCACTTTGGTATCTCCTCTCCAGTCCCAAGGTACACAAAAGACCAGCTCAGGGCTCACGATTTATTGTTTTCCCATGCAGGTCACACTCAAGCTCAGACAGATAGAGAGGATCTGCCTTTAATGAGCAAATGCACCATTACTTGGTCATAAATTCAACTTAATGGTAATTTTAGTAGGGCAGCTTGCCCAGGGTTTGTAGAAACACAAATCAAAAGTCCCAAATTCCAGGCATATCCTCCTAGAAACTTTTTTGGCAACTCCATTCCATTTGCTCCTTAAGGAAATCAATTTTTGTAGTTATGGTTCCTAGGTACTTAGGGTAGATTTGCACAAAGTCTGGAATCACTGTGGTAGCAAAGAGGGGGAGCGGATGGCATACTGCTGGAATTAATTTTGCCAAGCCTTGGGCCTTGACTTTGGTCGACAAGGAGGCACAAATGAGCTGCCACACAGATTCGGAATACAGCCCAACAAAAGTATTTGAGGTGAGTATGTTCAGATGTCTGTAACGGAAGGGTTTACTTTTTGGATCTTCATGTTCTTGGCTGACTACAAACTGATAAATTCTAGCCATTATCCCTCCCTTATCCAGCACATGTCCTTCATCTTTGTGGAGTTAACAGTGTTAGAAGTATAGAGAGTATTTTCAGACACAGTACTATTGAACACTTAGAGGTAGATTTGAAAGTAACAAGTGTATATTTACCTTAATCTGTGCTCACATCCATCATAAATACCAGTAGACCCTATTGTGTTTAATTACGCACATGAATGTGCTGCCTTCTACTAAATTGTGCTCTTAGGGTAGGGCAATGTCATATCTAAATTTGTTTCTCTAGTTTCTAATACCTGATAGTCACACATTTTAACATTTATTGAATAAATGAGGTTCATGCTTTTCCAATAAGATCTGATTTTTTAAGCTAGGGACCTGGGAAGTGGACATTTCTGACTATTTCCAGTTTGATACAAATAGCCAGGTGAGACAGTGATCTAGAAGACACTATGGAGATACAGTAGATTCAAAGAGGACTGCCTCACTGAGGCAGGGTAATGTGTGATAAATACTTTGTTCATTTGAACCAATATGTATATGATATAAACACATGACCCACAGCATAGTGCCAATGCTGAAGAATGTTCAAGGTGACTGGGAATCAGGGAGCTTATGATCTATTCTATTTTTAAGAGTCAATGTGTAATGGTAGCATAAAGTATTCCTCCCCCCCTCCCCAAGTAGCATCACTCTACTCAAAGATATGCTATTCTAGCTCCCCTTTTCTGATTTAATATGTGGATGGGTTTACTCATATTCCCTCTTTGCTGTAGAGGAGATTGGCAGTTAACTATTCCTGATTATAAAGTTAGAGACAAAAGAGAGGCACGCAACACCCAGATGTGACATATTTAGATTTTCACAACTCTCTATCAATAGATGACGGAGGAGGCTCAGAGTCAGTGGCTCTCAGCTTGAGCAAATGTCAGAATTACCTGGAGATGTTGGTACAGCACTGATGACTGGGCCCCACTCCCAGACTTCCTGTGTCAGCAGTCCAGACTAGAATTCTATAAACTGTAGTTTTAGGAAGTCTCAGAAAAAAAAAAAGGCAGATGAACTAGGGTCAGCTGAACTAATGCAAGCTTTGCAGCATACTTTCCACCAATTCTAAGTCCCCTAGTCTTGTGTAGAACCCTCCCACCACCAAGCGATTCTACTTGTACAGTTTTGTTAGGGTTAACCTTGGAATGAAGTAAAATCAGTTCAAATTGTTTGTAGCCATTTCTCAGCAATCAGATCTTCTGCGCCAGATTTCCTTTGCAGTTTCAAGCTGTGTCCTTATGGACTGCCTCTTCTACTTGATAGCAATAAAAATCAAATAAAAGCAACATGCAAGCCTGTCCTTTACATAGGGATACATTCACTCATGTATGTATTCACGCCATTAGCCATTGTGTAGATGGTTGAGTGGAATGATTAATTTTACACTATCTCTTGGAGTCTTCTTTTCCTCATCTACTCTGAGTAGGAAAATTATTGCAGCCTCAGTGTAAATGGGGAGATATCAGCCAGGTCTTTGTGTCCTCTAGATAATTTGGCTGGACTACAGGAGCTATCTGGCTTTCTGGTTAGACAGTTTTTATAAAAAGAAAAAAATATTTTCCCAAAGAATCATTTTTAGTTATTTTCCCCTCTCACAATGAAAGGCTTATCTCAAATCCCAAGTTTCATTGAGGATTCTTCCCCATTTGTCACCACCCATCCTTCCCTGACCCTACTCACCCTCAGACAGCCAGGGATTTAAAAATATGTTGGAAGATTTTAGTGGTGTCTGCAGAGAAGAATTATATTTTTCTATGTAGCATCCAGACACTGGAGAGGAAGACAGCACAGTCTGCTTAGCTCTTTTGTGATTAGTCTCGTGATATTGTTTTAATTGTGGCATTTCTTAATCACTGGCTATGCACAGCTTGTGCCTCATCGTTAAAGTAATTATGGGGATTTGATAAGACAGTGCTTTGAATTCATATGATGTTTCTTTTCCAACAGGCTGAAAACTCTTCAAAGCAGAGAGAGCACAGGAGGACAGCATGCATTGATCATTTTTTGTACATTGTCAGGGTTGGCCAGAATGCTCTATGAATTCACCGATTTTATGTCAGGTCATTCCACCTGATCAAAGAAGCATTTTCCCCCATACTTGAGGATTCTAAGAAGAATGTGAAATGAAAAACATCCTGTTTCTTTCACGTTGCCAGTAAGTACATTGTACCAGCTGCAAAAATGGCAACACAGGTGGGCTTGTGTGAAGACATTAGTTCTAAATCAAATTAACTTTTTTAAAAAATTTATGTAACTGGCAGGTATTATCCATTACCATTCTTTCCGTTCAAAAGGGTGTAATCCAATTCTAAATCTTTGTTATAAATGTATCATATCAGTTCTGCTTCAAACTGACTTGCCTAAGGTATGCCCAGGTAGTTGGAAATCCATTATTTAGCGTTAGTCTGGGAGGGTATTTCTAAAAGATTAATGTTTGAAACAATGGCCTGAATTAAAAAGAACTACCTTCATGGATGTTGGTGGGCATATTGCAATCTGTTGCGAACCAATGAACAACAAGGCAGGTGGGGAAGGGTGAATTTGATTTCCTTTGAACTAAGATATCCATCTCCTTTTCTCAGACATTGGTACTCTTGGTTCTTGGGGCTTTGGACTTAGCTATGCACCAAGATCCTCCTTTCCACCAAGGTTCTCATATCTTTGGCCTTGAGATGAGAGTTATATTACTAGGTCCCCTGGTTCTCAGGTCTTCATACTTGGACTTCGTCTGGAATCCATAGGATTTGCTAATGTAGAATCTGGTGATTAAAGTCATACATGGAAACAGAACTGAATCCTAGATTTTTTGTATAAGCAATGAGGAGATGGAGAACCAGTAACTGAGATGCTGATGACTAGGGGATACAAGGCATTTTTAGTTTTGTTGAGTTTCAGATTTAAATATATCATGCTCAACTAGAGGTCAAATAGAAAATTAATATACAATTCTAGAGTTCAGATGACAGTTCAGTTGGAGCTAGGAGCACAGGAGTCCTCACTATGTTCAATAGTAGCCATCCTAGGTCTTGAGTGAGTGAAGGGATATGGTAACCGTAAGGAAATATTGTTGCTCTACCTACTACAGAATATACTTAGATAGTATCTAAGCTTTTATAAAATTATTTGAAAGGCAGGAAGACGCACACACTGGCCTTCTGCCTAAGAATTCACTCCTCTAACACCCATAACAGGAATGACTGGGTAGGCTGAAGGTACAAACCTTGAACTCTGTCTGGGTCTTACTCATAGGTGACAGGAACCCACATATTCAGAGCATAATTTCAGTATCTCAGGGCCAATAGCAGAAAGCTGAAAGTTAGAAGTGGAGGTGGGATTCCATCCCAGGCACTCTGATATGAAATGTGGATGTTTAAGCGGTAGGTCAATCTGTTATACCGCGCTGACCATTTCAGTATATTTTTAAAGTATGTTATCCATTAAGCACATAATGGAAAAGACAGATGGAAAATGTTTTGAATTCATTTTGTTCATTTGTTTTGTAGTAAACATTCTCAAGTTCAGATATTGAACAAAGTCTTACCTTTCAAAGTAGCCCCATAGGAGGAGGAGGAGGAGTCAGTTGACCCGCAGATTTCTTAAACCTTGAATTGATTGACTAGTTTAAAAATTTACATGCTATTGGACTTTAAAAAGTAGAAACAGAATGAATTGCCAGGAGATTGACAGCAAACTAGCTGATTTTAAACTGACTTTGTCACTTGCTCCAATGATTCTTAATGTTTGGATGCATTTTGGGCAAAAGGGTTGGGTTGGAGTGCTACACAATCTCCCATTGATACCTTTGAAGGAAACATTATTAAGCATTGAAGCTTTAGTTTTATTCATTCATGAAAATATATCTGCCTTATGCCAAGTGAAAGGAGCAGTTACAAACAGTAAAAAGAGCAAGGCAATGCTATTTGCACAACTCCCTTTTTGTTCTAGAAACATTATTTTTAAAAACTACTTATTTGTGTGGAGGGAGGGAGAGAGAGAGAGAAAGTAACGAATCTTCCATTCATTGAATCATGTTCCAAAGTGGGTACTAGTACCGTATCTGGGTCTGGACCTGGCTGAAGCCAGGAACTCCATTCCAGTCCTCCTCTTGAATGGAGTTCAAGAACTTGAGTCATATTTTGCTGCTTTCTTGGGCGCATAAGCAAGAAGTTGGAACAGGAGCAGTGTAGCTGGGATTCCAACTGTCTCTCCAATGTGGGATTTGGTGTAATTCGGAGTGTAATTCATTGTGTCACAGTGTCAGCCCTTGCATCTCTTAACATTAGAATTTGTTCCAATAAATTGATTGAACCATTTGAAGAAATATCCTAATAAAGGGAAAAAATTGCCTTCCCATCTGTTTTCTTCCTCTTGTATACATGATGTTCAATATCTAAACTAACTCCCAAACTCTAATCTGTTATTTGTTGCAGAATCCCATTCAGACATGAAATACTATTTTCCATTTTGCTTCAAGCACTGGCAAATCTCTAGGATAAGATTTCAATAATTGACTCATAGTAAATGTAAGTAGTTGATGCTGGTTTACTGTGGTCTGAATTTTTTATTTTAATGACAGAAAAGACTTCAATCAAAGAAACACATCTCTAATGATGTAAATAAAAGCACCTGTAAGCATTTAAGCAGAGAGCCTTCTGTGTGAAATCATGGCCTATACAACTTCTATCAATTACCAATCAACCTCTAGGAACAAGAAATTTTCAGTTTCACCCAGATTCTACTATAAACTCTTTTTAAGATTAAGAAGTTCTTCAGGGTTTCCATGCCATATAACATATTAGCAAGTGATCTTCATAGGCATTTTAGAGTAATGGGTCAAATGTTTGCTTTACCTTTGTTTAACTGAATGATGCTTGTACTCTACTGAGGCTTTCCACTGCCTTAGCTCCTTCAGCCGGTGAAACATATTATTACAATCAGCTTCACTTGTTCCCAGTTCTTTCAGCATCTGTAGTGGCAGCTGGCACATCTCCTACTTCATCCAGAAGTGCATTCAAGGGTACCCAGCTACAAAGTTCCCCCAGCAAGCATTTCTTCGTATTACAGAATGAAAAAGAATTTAGTTGAAAATATTCATGTCTGGGGTCGAGTAAGGTAGAGTGAAGTTGTGAGATGGGAGGACCTTCCATCAATGTGTTTTCATCTTGGGAGAAGCCAGTAGAAAGGATACTGACATTCCTTTTACCCCAGTTTTAATTGGAAAAGGATTTATGCAACGGGTACACCCATTTTTCCCTAAATCCTAGAAGGGAATTGTTTTCATTTCCATAGGTTTTCTATATGATTTCTATATGATTTCTATATGACTACTATAGACTACTTTCATTTGGAGTTTCCTGATTTTTAATTTTGGGCATCCAAACCCATCTTTCTAGCAGTTAAGAGGAACATCTCAGTATTCTGGTTGTAATTTTGTTTTCTTCCTCCTGTGGAAACCACCTCTATTGCCGTCCGGCATTCTGTACTGATATGTAGTTGTGTGACATACAGGGTGGTGGTGATGACTGACCTATGTCAAGAGCACTCGGAAACAGGCCTAGTTGATTTTGAAAGTTTTGCCTTAGGAAATGCAACTCATGTTAAAGTAACTGTGGGCCAGAAAACTAACTTCAACAATATCTCTCTTGGGAGATGCTGTCCTGAACATCATCTCAAATCATTTGTTTTTGCTTCTATAGTTGTATAATATGTCATGTGTCTGATAGTCCATCTTAGAGCCAGAAGTATTGCTAGGACCAAACAGTCTCTGGCAGTCATGGAGACAGATGTATCTTTTGTAAAAAAGTTAATTGTAGTCTGAAATGTTTAATTGAGTGTGTTGTGCCAGGTAGCATACGAATAAGTTACATATAGGCTGTGTCATGTTATAAAGTTTCTGTTTTTTTCACTGATTAGTTGTAATATGGATTTTCTTTAAATCTTGTTCTTACCAACCGCCTGAAGAACTAACTGTAGTTCTGAACTTGGAGGAATGCACTTACCAGTGAAAAAGAGCCAGAGTGGAAACTTTAGAATTACTCTTATTCAAGAAGTATAAATGTAATCAAATCTAAATAAATTCAAATTAGACTTAGGGAAATTAACACAAGTGTGTCAAGTGAACTCACAAGATAAATTTATTAATTTGGAAGTGATATAGTTAGCATTTATTGTTCTTTTATATTTCCAGATTTCTTCCTTCTACACTGTTCTAATGCCAATATTCTCGTTTAACTGCATTTCCATTTGTTGGTGTGGCCAGGTAACTTGCTTTCCAATAAAATGAGTGTTGAGTAAGTATAGCAGGGTGGGTGAATAGACTAGTCTACATCTTCTTTTTTCTAGCCACTGTGGCCAACAGCATTTCAAAGGATTGAGGCTTTGCTAGCCTGTGTTTTGAGTAAGGATAATAAGAAGCCCAGTTCACTACTAATAACACAGTGTGAGCAAAAAGCTAACCTGTCTTGTTATAAACCATTGAGATGGGTTTGTTAATGTAGCTCAACCTAGATTTTCTGACAAGCAGATCCTAGGCATCCGAAAAGTAGAAAATCATAATGTCATTCCTGGATGTCTTTTTATTAGTGTGAGTAGTTTAACCTGAGGTTTCAATTGATCAAATCCCTGTACGGTAAGGGTGTCTGCATTTGCACACCAGGTTCACTGCCATGAATGAGTCTCAGATTCCTTGTTTGCAAAGTTAATAGTAATATCATCACCCAATAGAGCTATGGTGAAGTGACAGTAATGTGCAAAAGGCACCTGGCCCAAGGGGCGTCGCTTTGTCTCTGGAATAAGCATTAACTCTAATTCTACTATCCTGTATCAGTATTGACTTTATGAAACCTAGCTTATAATATACTTGTTTGAATAGAGCCATCTATAAAGTTCCTTCTAGCTCTAAAATTTGATGCTTTTGCGGAAGACCTTACTTTTGGTCCCTAAACTTCCTCAGGGTAGCTTAAACTTGTGGCTTTAATTTTTTGATACATGTGAGATTAATGCTAGCTTCTCTGGATGAGTAAAAAACATACTTATAGACAACAAAAAATTTCCCACTAATTAGTTTGAAAAAAAGAATCTGCCTCAATTTTCTCCTGCTATATCATTCCTTGAAATTGTTCCAGAACTTGGTGACTTTGTAGTTGCTTGCCCCTTTCCTCATCCTGAAACATATTTTCCTTTTTGGTTTTTGACCCTGAATGACATAGTTTTCCTTTTCAAGAGCCTGAATGTTAGTACTTGAGACCAGGAATGGGGAAAAAAAAAGACCAGGAATGGGTCAGAAAGATTTCCACAAGACATTGTGGAGGACTTTGATGATGTTTTCAAAGAAGAGGAGAAAAACTTGTTCTTAGAAAATATATTGATCTTAACATAATATAAGAATGTTGTGTATCTACATGTTTGTGACAATACTTTCCATGTGTTATGTGTATTTGCTTGGGCTCAGTCTAGGAAAGAATATACCAACTTCTGAAGATGTAATACTTATTGGCTAAAAATGTGGTGGGGGGTCAATAGCAATAGCTTTAAAATGCAGACATGCATGGTGAAGCTTGAAGCTGTGTGTGAGGAAAATGGCCTCGTCTAGGATGGAGCTAGAGGTTGAAACCTTTAGCTATGTCACGTGTGAACAGGTAAGGCCAAAGTTAGTTATAAAATGATGGTGATGATTGAATCTTGGGACAATAACCCTAGAGATCAGAGCACAGGGAAGCAAAGAGGGTGGGAGAAATGAGCTTGATTTTGGAGGTGGAATTTGGCAGGGTAGAGGAAGAAAACCTCTAGCAGGTAGAAGAGTCAAGATCAGGGAGGATACAGAATAAAGGTGGAGTTACAGACAAAGCCCTGTGGATCAAAAGTCACAGAGAATCCCAGCTTGTTTAGACTGGAGACAGGAAAAAGGGCATCCTCTTGGAGTCTTAGATTCTGAGCTGGAAGTGGGGCAGGGAAGATAGATAACAGGAAAAAACCTGGCGGTTTCTCCAGGGAACCAGCAACACCTGATCCAACTTCCCCTCTCCATTTATTTCTGTCCTAATTCTTCTCATGAGACTGTGGTTTCATTTAGAGCAAGAGATGGGAATGAAACTGCCCAAAAGAAGAAAGTCAGAGTTCGCAACATGAGAGACTGCCAGGCAAGGCTTGGCAGGAAGAGCAGCATAGAAACGGGGACATCAGTGACTGGCCATGCCAGGAAGGGATTGTCTCATACTTTTAAAAGATTTTTTAATAGAATATGTGGGCATGTGCATTAGAAAGTGTAAAACTTGGGCTGAGCTTGACATCAACCTGGCATTCTATTTCAACTCTGGAAATAGACTCCTAAACTGCCCTTGCCTAGTTCCAGGTTGGTGCCTACTTAACTGATGAGGCCCTGAGAGTGAGGTGGACCACTTTAGAAGGAGCTCAGTCAGATCTGCATGAGATGGGAAGAAACAAAAGAGGGATTCTGCTGAAAAAAACAATGAGCATGAGGAAAATCCATTCTTCTCCCAATCTGTAGATGAAATGAGTCTTAAGACCTCTGATGAGTAAATACATCATGCCAAGTAAATTACTTTCTTGTTTAATTTCCTATGGTTATTTTCATTTTTTAGGTTACATTAATTGGTCATTGAGAATCCAAAGTAAATATAAGCAATGTTAGAAAGTCCCCAGAATCCTGTATCGACCCAATGTCAGGAATCCCTCTCTATAATTCTGCGGTCTTTTTGACTCATGGAATCAGCTCCGATTTAGTCTTAAGGGACTTTGTCTGAGTTTTGGTTACTAGACCAGAAATTCTTTGACTTTGACTTGACTCTTACCTTTCGCTTGCACGAATCTTCCCAAATGGTTTCTAGGACGATGGGCTTGGGTGCTGTTACCTCAGATGTGGGCTCTTAATTGTTCTATTTGCCTTAATTATACATACTTAGATTTTCTTTTTCTACACAATGGAATAGTACTTGCAACCTCAGAGGAATAGTATGGACACAGCCTATTTGAGAGGTACCAAGGCCACATGTGGCACATAGACATTGTCTCATAAATGTCTTTTTTCTCTCATGATGCTGGATGCATTTAACCTCTGTTGTCTAAACAATCCTAAGACCTCTTGTCTACAGATCAAGTGAGCCAGTTTTGTGTGACTTTCAAAGATGTGGTTCCCATGACAAGGTTTCTCTAGAATAGCCAAATTGGTACGTGCAATGGTCTGTTTCATTTACCAACGTCAGGACTCCTTTTGGAATCCAGGTTACATGAAGGGGTAAGCCACTAATCCCTCCATGAATCCAATTGAGGATTGGGCATGAGAACTGATGACAATAAGGACTGGGAGATGGATGTGAGCCACCCCTCCCTGAGAACCGACTGTGGTGGTGGATTCTTATTTTACAAGTTTCTGAGGTGTATTCTGATGCACAGTGGGGTGTAACAAGGAAATCTGAGTGAAGTCCAGAGGAATCCGCTGGGATTTTCCTGTGTAGTGGTAACTTGAGGAAAGCTGGAAGCAGTGTCTGAAGCAGGATTCCTCA